TAAGGCACCCCCCCTTTAAACCCCTTTAGCCTCTTTAAAATGCTTTTGTACTCCCCTTCTCCCCCCTTGACAGCCAGCTCTCAAAAAAAGAAAAGAGCCCGCATTTGGGCTCCTCTCAGAGCGTGCAGAAAAACCCCACCGCCAATTTTTTTTTCTTCTTTCTTTCCCCATGCCTCGGTAACCCTTTGATTTTCAACTCGAGTTTGGTACAGAATCTTGCGGTAAACCTTTTGTTTGGTACAGAATTTTGAGATAAGGTCAGACAAAAGTTGTTTGAATATTTATTTCGCATAACATACTTTTTTTTCTCAGATTTTTTCGATTATGATTTTTTTTTTTTTTTTTTTTTTAATGTATTCCCACGTATGGGAGTACATGTACGCGCGTACGTGTCGCGTACAGGGATTCGTGGGTTTAGGGTTTAGGGTTTAGGGTTTAAGGTTTACACGTACGTTGTGCTACCCAGAAAAAAAACATATAGCTGTCCCCGATGAGGAGACTACAGCCTTCAAAAAAATAAAAATAAAAAAAAAGAATCTTGCAGCTGAACTTTGTCTCTCATCTGCCATACACCATCCGGTTTTTTTTTTCCCTTTTTTTTCTTTTCCTTTCCTTCCCTCCCATACTCGTAGACCTTTAAGTGAACCATATGGATAAATTTGTCCGGCAGTAAGAAGAATCTTGTCTTTCCCTTTCCATTTCAGTTTGTTCTCTAACTTCTCTGCATCGCCCCCCCTATGTCGTAAACTGCCAGTACACCTGGGGCCTGGAGGCGCTGGACTGCATGCCCAGCTTTTTTCCGAAACCGCCAGCGCCGTACTTTTCTTCTTTTTTGGCTGGCACCGTCAGTGCCGCGCTTTTCTTCTTTTTTGGCTAACACTGCCAGCCACTGTGGTCTGGTAGTCCGAGCCGCAAATTTTCGGAATTGACAGACAAATTCGAAAATTATTCACACTCTGGAAATTATTCACACTGAGGAAGATGACAAGTTGACAAATTTCAAATTTGCCCATATGCTATCAAAACATTTGCACAACCCACGGTACATATGTATAACCCCCTTTACAGCTCTTTGCAACTTCCCCAGGTCCTTCATTTCTGGCATAGATTACAGAGATTAACGGCCGGAAATGAATGAAGGACTCTTCACTTCTGGGCATCATAGATTACGGAGATCTATGGCCAGAAATGAATGAAGCGCTCTTCATTTCTGGCCATAGATTACGGAGATCCACGGCCAGAAATCAATGAAGGGCTCTTCATTTCTGGCCGTTGATTTCCGTAAGTTATGGCCAGAAATGAAGGATCCGGGGAAGTCACATCTCGCAGCTAGTTCGACAGTGTGGCCGATTTCATCTGCCATTGCCAGTCACAGTACCTAGGTTGGGCAGGCATCTGGCCAGGCAGACCCACACTGGCAGGCAGGGGGGCACCTGGCCCGGGTGCCCCCCTGCCCCTCTAACCCCCAACAGGTTAGTAATCACCGGTCGCTGTTGCAAATCATGTAAGCCGATCCAAGAACCGGATTCGAAAGGAACGACCATCTCAGGATGTAGTCTCTAGTTCCGAGAGTGAGGAGGCTGCGGCGATGGACCGATGGTTGATGAGAAAGATGGCTTCCCTTTAAGAGTATCCACCTCCACTGGATGTGAGAGCAGGGAGCCATGCAGAGGGCTTAAACCAAAAGTACATTTCCCAGCTAAGAAATCAAAAATGCGGCTTGCATGCCACCACAATTTTCGGGACGTACCGGCGCGCAGTTTCACTGGATATCCGTCCTGACAAAACGGGCCTCGCATGCGACCCGCTTTGCCTCGATGGATGTCCAGCGAAATGGTGCCCTGGTACTTCCTGAGAGTCGCAGCTGCATGCACGCTGCGCAGTTTAAGAACAAAATCTAACAAATATCGCATTGCAAACAATTTGGATGACCTGCGCGTTGTAATGCAGTGCGGCAAGGTCCTGCACATTGAAATGCAGTGCCGAAACGGGATCAACGGCCCAGATTGGCTGCAAAATCAATGGGTTCTTCTTCTTCTTTCTCTTCTACTTCTTTGTCGTCGTCTTGTTCTTCTTCTTTCCTCGTTCGTCTTTTTATTCTTCTTCTTCGCACCGTTAGCTCCTCCTCCCCCTCCTCCTCCTCCTCCTTTCTTCTTCTTCCAGCCATCTCCATCCATCTTCCCTTGTGCCATCTCCCTCAATCTCCCCTCCCACAATCTGCCCCCCTCTCCCCTTGCACCATCTCCCTTCGTCTCCCCTCGCACCATCTCCCTCCCTCTCCCCTCATGCCATCTCCCTCCCTCTACCCTCACACATTCCCTCTACCCTCGAGCCATCTCCCTCCCTCTCCCCTCAGACAGTCTCCACCCATGTCTTGTGTCTTGTTTCTACCGTCCCCTGCCCCCTCTCCACATGCAGTAAAATAACAAAAGACACCAGTTATGCACAGGACTGGGTGGGCGCAGCAATGCGCCACTGTTGCCACTACACAAAAATGACTCAGCTTTTTCCATGTCTGAGCCACACTCACGGGCGCTTCACCGAGCACCCCTGGTTATTCCCCAGGCATCCTGGGCCCACTGACTTGCCAGTACTACTAGTACAGTTAAACAACACCAGCACTATAGAATCCAAATCTGCGTCAGCTTCCAACAGGCACTTCAGCGAGCTCGCGGATAACCAGGGGTGCAGACGACAGAACAGGATGGACAATCACTCACTGTCATGTGTTCTCCACAGTGATCTTTCAGATTCTACCTTCCATTCGGCTCAAACAACACACACACACACACACACACACACACACACACATTTTTCTGTGCTCGTCTGTTTTTTACCGAGGTAGAGACGGAAAGGAAAACCGATGGTAGCACACTGTATTTCTTTGACCACTATAAATACAAAAAAAAACTTTGAAAAAGGAAAAAAAAACTTAAAAAAAGGCATTGTGTTAGGCAAATGTGTCACTCATGTACAGGGTTGAATTCTTTTCGCAAATCAGTTCTTAAAGAGGGAATTCGAAGAAAAGCATTGGAGGTTAAACATTAAAAACAAAACAAACAAACAGACAAGACAGACAGATAGACAGACAGACAGACAAACAAACAAACAAACAAAGCAATCCATTTTCGAATAAGTAACGAGGCAGCAGTCAAAGCAAGTTTGGAAACAAAAGAAAAATGATTTAAATGTTAGAAATCCACAAATCCCCAGGATCCAACACCATAATAAGGGACTTCCCTAGCTATTGGAGAAAGTGAAACAAAGGTAATTGATTATTTGAATTCTTCGAAAGTTAAAAGCGCTATACATACAGAAATCAGACGAAACATACAGAAAACAAAACGTCGAAGTAACATTATTGGTTAGAATGAGAAAGTGGGCAAAAAACAAATAAGAAAGAAAGAAAAGATAAGTTCCAGATTTCCAATTTTTTGGTAGGCGAACGCATCACAAAAAAAGGCTAAGAACGACAACTTGAGGTATATCAAGTTTGAACCTGTTGCACTCGTACTATACGGCTTATTCATCATCAACTGTTCGGCCATCCTCCAGGTCCAGTTACTGTATGATCTGTATCCTACACCCTATCGAAGACATGCCAGCTCAAACAGTGATCTGTATGATCTTTCAGTACCCATGGAGACTATCCAATCCCTACAAATGAATATATGACAAACACGCCGGTGTTCGGGCCATTGGTCTTAAGTTAATTGGCGTTAGCTTGTTAAGATGATTCACGTTATGTCAACGGAAGCAGCGTTGAAATTAAGATAATTGGTGTTAGTGCAACGCAAGCAGCATTGAAATTAAACATTTCGCCCGGGCAAAATCAATGATAGAAAAAAATAAAAAAATAAAAATAAAAAATAACAATCAATCATTGGGCATACCTCACAATGAATGGTCTCTGAATGGCGCCCTTCTTTTCTGCCGTGTTAAACTTCTTTTCTGCCGTGTTAGTCACCCTTCTTTTCTGCCGTGTTAAGCAGTCTGTCAAGTCAGTGCAAAGAAGACCCTATCTGTACCTGGAGGTGCAGACGTCAACATCCATCCGGAAACGTCATCTCTAACCAACGCTGCAATTGGAGCCCCACCCAGCTGAGGCAGCTTCAGGAAAACAAGCGTCAGCATTCGGTGGAGATGCCCCACTCAGCCATTTGTCACACACACACACACACACACACACACACACACACACGTCTTTCGTGGAATTGTGGATAGCGAATGTGACAACACACATCAGGGGTTCAATCTACGGATGAGTCGATGAAAGACCCGCCGAAACGGTCTGCCACAGTGGCCGATTTTTTGGGGCAATGTACATCGCGAACATGACTTAGCATAATGATGCTTTTCTTGTGGAGTTGTGTGTAGCAAACACAACGCAAACACACACATGTGTATGTGCGGTTTGGATTCCCGCTTTCCGTTCTGTCTACTGCTTCACTGGCGTGATGGTGGTTAGCAACTTAGCGCAATTCACCGGCCAATTGACGTCGTATAGGCCAAAAGAATCAATAGCCAAGCTCAGGCAGATACACATAGGAATCAGTGTTTTTTTCCCCCGAGGTAGAGACAAGCTCCGCAACAAGCACAGTCAAGCGCGCGGACGTATAGAGTAAAGGCCATATGACATGTGCCCCATCTGGACCGTATGAAGCAGTCTTCATAAGTAGGTCCAGCCCTCCAATTCTCCTTCTCATCTTTTTTTTTTGTGGAGAACGTGGAGGGTGGGTAGATTTGAGCTGCGGACTTCTTTGTGACCATTTCTTTCCCCCCCCCCCCCCCCTTTTTTGTGACAATTTCCACCACCCCCTTTTTCCCCAAACCCTGGCGTCATGCGTTCCTTCTCAAACGTACAAACAAACAGTGCCTATTTCTTCTTGTCAATGGCTTTATAGAATTTGGTACAAAACTCGATAATGAAACAAAAACACTACGCGTACTCACCACACGGACAGGGCCTGTCTTCCGAGTATCCCTCCTGAGTAAAGGAAAGGACAAAGAAGCCCCTCATGCAGGCGAGCAGGCAGGCAGGCAGGCAGGCAGGCAGGCAGGCGCAGAACGGAAAATTCTGGTCCCCCCCTAAAAGAAAAGAATGCCCCTCCTCAGACGTTATGGCAGCATTTCCGGACAGACCACGCTGCTGCTTCTTCCCATTTTGGCACTCCCGTAAGCTCCACTCTGAAAGAGCCCTGCAAGTAGCTCCTCTGGAAACCGGCTACCCTGCGGTACAAAGTTGTCGAAGCAGCAGCGTTCCCTCCGCCTTCTGCCGGAACCGCTCAGCTTCCTAGCCTCTTGAATACGAGCCATTCGGCAGAGGAAGGGAGCATACTGCTCCATCGCTTCCGTGGTAGAGGTTGCTAGCCTCAGTCGCGGAGGCACGATACAATCTAAACTCCTCTGTAACAGATCCCGCACGCCCTCTCTCTCAATCCGTCGCTCACTTAGAGTCCGTTCGACCCTCAATGCCCTCCAATCCGTTCGACCTCCAGGCTTGCTTGCAGGATCGCTGTCTTCGGCCAGCAAACAGCAGCAAAGTGCAGCCTCCTCGCCAGCAGCCGCAAGCAGCTCTTCCCCGTTCACCACTACAGATACCTCCCTCCTTGAGGAAGCATTCACTTGGCTGGCCTGGGCATCAGTCACCGCTGCCGTCTCTCCCTGTGCACTCGCGGCTACCATCTCCCTATCACTAGAACTCTGCTGCACCTCCTGCCCTGGGGAAAATGGGGTATTCACACTTGACCCTCGTCTGAACACACTCTCCCCAACTCCCCACCCATCGAACCTCCGAAGGCAAGCTCTCAAGCTGCTCAACGTGAGATCGGCTGCTGCAGCTGCAGCTGCCTCGACATCACCATCGCTAACGTCCCTGCCATCTGTGAATACACTACTACTCCCCCATGAAACCCTCCCACTCAGAAGCAGCATGTCCTCGTCCGCGGTCAATGACGAGCCGTGCAAGACACAGAGAAGATCAGAAGCTGACACATTCTCTGCAAGATCAGCAACGACCTGCGTTACATTCAACGCCATCAAGCTGGTATCGGTTACAAACCGCTTCCAGTCACACCCCAGGCTCCCTACTACTATCCCTTTCCTCTCCTCATCGTCGGGGCAAAGTGGTTCCCCCTCGCTGTTGTTCCTGGCGCAAATCTTCTCCTCGTGCTGCTGCCTCGCTCCTGCAGAGTCGGATTCCATCTCCCTCATCGCACCTGCTCTCTGTATGGCGACTCCTCTATTGTCGTCCTCTACCTTCCATCCTGATGACAGTAAGCAGCCGGGATTGTCCCCCTCCTGGAGGGTACTGTCGGGACTGACCCCCTTCTGGAGGGTAGCGTCAGCATTGTCCACCTCCTGGAGGGTACCGTCGGGACTGTCCCCGTCCTGGAGGGTACCGTGTGCTACTTCCATCGCATCAACAGCACATGTTTCTGCCGGAGGTCTGGGAGGGGTCTGGTTCAGCTCAGTCATCTGATGAACCTGATGATCTTCAACCTTCCCTTCTTCTAGGGGAACCCTCACGGTGACTTGCCCTACTCCCTCCTTTCCACAGACAAGCTCCACCGCCGCCTGGTTGTCATCCTCCACCGACTGCCCTTTACTTTCTTCGCTATTGCAAAATTTCTCTCCCTCTTTCACTCTGCCATCCTCCCATGTGATTTCTATCTCACTACCTACAAGATTACAATGGCAAGGTCTCTCGGTCGGACCCTCTATCGCCACTATCTCATTCTCATCCACCGAACCTCTTCTACCGTCCACCTCTGCATCCTTGCAGCATGAGACAGACAGGCAGCAGCCGCTCGATCGCTCAGAACACAACCCCTCTATCCCCATGCAAAGCACATCCCCATTCACCACTTCCACTACCTGCTCTGCACCCGGGGCTCCTCTTCCTTTCCCACCCCGCCCTTCGGAAAAGCTCCTCTCGAAGCATGAGTCGCAGTCATTCTGCCCTGCACACATAGTCTCCAATTGACTGTCACCCACCGGTCTAGCCTCATCAGCTGCTACAGGCGTGCATGCCGACGCTTCCTCTCCTCTCCTCATTCGCAAGGCGTTGCCAAATCCGTCACTGTTTAGGTTGACGTCAACAAATTTCACCTCCATTGTTGGACTCTGCTCTTTCGCTTTGACAGAAGCATCATCATCCTTTGATGATGCAGGAAAACCGCTCTTGCACATTTCTTTGTTTGCAACATCCACGCTACTGTTGCCTTCTCCTGTTATGTTCCGCTCCTCCTCCTCCTCCTCCTCCTCCTCCTCCTCCTTCCTCTCTGTCTTTGTTTCTTCCTTATTGCTCACCTCATTTTCACCACCCCCATCACCATCCTTTCTTTCCTCCTGTTCCTGACCGTCTCCTTCCACGTTATTGGCCTCCTGCCCATCATCCAGCCCATCTCTGCCTCCGTTTTCCTTCTGTCTTCTCCTCTTCACCACCCCACCCGCCTGGGTCCTCGCTGCAAGCTCCGAGAGATCGCCCTTCCCAGTTGTGCTCCCACATCCATCATCAACCATCATACCCTTCCCATTAGAGAGTTCCTTTGCAGCGAACCCCTCCTTCGTCGTAGATCGATCATTGATTATGTCGTTAGCCAAATGATCTGCACTGTTGCACCTTTCAGAAGCACATCCTTCAGGATAGGGATGCCGAGCACCTGCAAGCCCTGCAGAACCTGACCCCCCATTCTCCACTTCTGCGCCTCGCAATCTCTCTCTCCCATCTACTGTCATCCCCTTCGCACCATCTCGTTTTTCTCCCTCCATAGGCCCGTTTTCGCATGGGCTGCAACTCGTATCACCTCCTCTCCTCTCCTCTTCTTCTACTACCAGATTCGTCACGACGTCGTCCTGCCAGTTCCCCTCCCTCCCTCCTCTTCCTCGTGCTCCTTCTCCCGCTTCTTCCCCAACCTTGCCCCCAACTTCTCCTACCTCCTCTCCCCTCAGCGCCCGGGCAATAGACGTGACCCCCGCCTCGACTCCCAAGGCTGGTCTATCGTCTCCTTCTTTCACTGCAAAGTCGTCATTAACGCTCTCTGGTGCTCCTTCCTCTCCTTCGCAGGTAGTTCCCATCTTCAATCCTGCAGGCAACAAGTTCATTTCCCTCGCGGCTGAAACCATGCATTCTTCTCCCTCGGTGGCAATGCTCTCTCTGTCCCCTTGCATTGCCATAGTCGATGCTTCCATGCCCACACTCCCCTTTGCTCCGCCAACACTCAGCCTCCTCATCTTCTTCTTTCTTCCCTCTTCGGGGACAAGACATGCTTCTCGACTTCGTGATACTCGTTGCTGCTGTTCCTGCTGCTGATCCTGCTGCAGTTCTTCCTGTGCGATCGGACATCTCCTCTCCTCCCTCACCCCCTCACTCACTCCTCCTCTCTCACAATCTTGAAAATCCTCTTCCGACGTCGTGAAAACGGGCTCCTCGATTTCGTCAATACCTTCACCATCGTCATCCTCCTCCACCACAAATTTCCGTTTCTTAGGTCGTGATTTCTTACTCCCGCCCCCTCCTCCTCCTCCTCCTCCTCCTCCTTCTACTCTTCCCCAATCTTCACCGTCATCACAAGGAAGGTTAGTATCTGGCCCAGGCGGGGGATCTTCCTCTTCACACACAGCACTTCTCTTTGCCGACAATCTTGCATCTCTCACGGCCTTTCGCGCTCTCGCCGCAGCGTCCATCTCCATCTGCATAGCGAAGGCAGCCTCCACTGCGGCCTGCGCAGCCTTGTCAGCATCCTCCTCTTCGATCCTTGTTGCTTCTTGCATAACCCTCTCCTTGACAGCCATCGCCAGCTGGCAAGGCATCGCCACATCCAACAAGACAGGCATCACTCGATGCACAACGTCATCGCAGAGCAATCTCATCAACGTCCCATGCTCTTCAGCTGTCTGGCATTCGGATTCTTCCGGGTCCTTTCCACCCTCCGCCTCCTCTACTGGGGGCAATGGACGAGCACCATCCACCCCTCCATTGACCTGATCAACACCGTAACCATCCCGCATTGCAGTTTCTTCTCCTCCCCTTCGTCGTTCTCCCGTCAGACTCGTCAGCTGGCGTTCACCCAGAAGGTCGTTCCCAGTTTCCTGCCCTCCCTGCAGTGGTACCGAGCAAGCTTGTCCCGCCTTCTGCTCGTCCTGTTCCAGCTGCTGCTCTTTCTGCCCCTCCTCCATCTTCTCCTTCTCCCCTCTCTCCTCCCTCTCCTCCCTCTCCTTCCCGCCATGTCGGTCACCACCTTCCACTTCTCTCATGCTCCCTCTCCTCCTACTCCTTGTCTCTCTCCCCGTTTCGCCTACCTTTCGATCGCATCTAGTCACCTTGCGTTTCCTTCCAGACCCCCCCCCCTCCCCCTCCCCCACCCCCTCTCCCTCTCCTCTCGCTCTCTTCCTATTCTCCTCTCTCTCCCCACCCACGGCCTCGTTCTCGTTCCCTTGCTCCCCGTCTTCCTCGCTCCGTCTTCTGCCAACCGATCCATGTCCCACTTTCCCTTCTAGGCCACCTTCGTCTTTGTCGTCGTCTTCTTCGTTTTTCCCTTCCTCCTCATAGATTAGAGAGTGCTGCTGCTGCACAGTAGTGCGCTGACACCAGAACTGCAGCGTCAGCAGAACGCGTCGGATATCGCAATCGCAGGCTTTCACTAGTCGCTCGACGACCTCTGGATAAGCCGGACGGCATTCCGCTTGGCAGACCATGAAAGAATGAAGCAGCAGCTCTTCAACAGCTGGTTTCTCAAATGATAGAGTGAGTTTCCTGAGACCTGGCACGATCTCCGGGTCGCCATCATTGCTTATCATCACGATGGGGCGTTTAGCTCCTGCTGCGAGGCTGCTCAAGGCCGCTAAGAACCCCTTATCCTCTTCAAACACTGCATCCACGTCTTCAAACAGGATCAGGCTCATTTCCCGCTGCTGAAGCTGAGGCTGATGATGGTTGTCCAACTTATCTCCATCTGGACAAGCACGGACGCTGCCAACCCCGCTCCCATTGTTGTCGTCATCATTATTATCGTCACCGCTGTGTTCCTCTCCAGAATCCATCCTCCTTTTCGTTTCCGACAGCGCAGCAGCAGCTTGTCTTCCTCTCCCTCTTCCCCTTCCAACCCCTCGTCCTCCTCCTACTCCTCCTCCTCCTCCCCTTCCACGGCCTTCTCCCCTACCTCTTCCTCTTCCTCTTCCTCCTCCCTCTCCTTTCTTCGGACTCGACACAGCTGCCGCATTCCCCTCCTCGCCTGCGTCCAAAGGGGTTTGCACCCTATCCAGGGCCGTGACCTTCTTTTTCCTCCCCCTTTTCGTCTCCTCCTTCTTAGTCTGCGTAGTCGTTGCTGTTCCGCAAGGTACGTCCAGACGATCCGGGGAAGATCCGACAGGAGGACTCTTCCCATCCAAAGACCGATCACCCCCACCGCCACTTTCGCACCAGAGGGGGTCATTCTGCTGACGTTGGTGGCGATTCTTCTGCTGCAGAGCGTGGGATTCGAGCGCTTCACCGAATTTCTGTAAGATGAGTCCTCCGTTCCGTCTATCTGACGCATTTACTTCGATTATAGAGAAACCTAGTTCATTAGCACAGGCACAGACGGCTGCAGTCTTCCCACAGCCAACAGGCCCTGTCAACAGCAACGCATTATGAAGACGATCGTCGTCACTGTCATCCTCCTCCTCACAACCGTCCCATCCGTCATCGTCGTCGCCTTGGAACCAGCCGCGATCCCGATCATGACCCCCCAGCCGAGTAGGTGGTCCTCTGTCCTTCTCCTTCTTGTTGTCCTGGCCGAAGAAGAATTTCGTAATCATAGTTGTCGTTAAGGATGATGCACTAGCGTTCCCACAGCCGCCTGTCCCACCTCCACCTCCACCTCCCCTAACCCTCCCTCCTCCTCCTCCTCCTCCTGCTCCTACTACTCCTCCCCCCGCTCTATCCTCTCCGCTTTCCCGCGCAACTCGTCCATCTGTTCGAGTTCCTCCACTGCCCTTCCGGATCAGATTACCCTGGCGGGAAATTTGTCCGTTGATGATCTTTTCCCGCCAAGAAGAAAGCCACGTGTGCAAGAATGCAATGGACTTGGCGTTGCCGCACACCTCATCAGCACACATTGGCCTGTAAATGTCGCTCCACAGGGCATCCTTGATTGGACGATGATCCACGCCGCCGCCGTCGCCGCCGCCATCGCTACTCCCCGTGCTGCTGCTGCCGACTGACAGGTTATTCTCGTTGACGTCAACACCGGGCACACCAGCAGATGCCGACCCTGGGATCAAGCCCAGGGAGGAGGCGGCGGAGGCGGCGGCTGCGGAGGCCGCCGCCTCTCTCGAGCGTTGGAGGTACCAGCTCAGCCGCTTTTCCAGCGCATTTAGAGACACTGACAGCTCTCCGCCAACGCTATCAGTATCACGGCGATCTACACACGCCCTACCCGGCTTTTCCTCCGAGTTGATAGCTCCTCCTCCTCCCCCTCCTCCTCCTCCTCCTACCCGTTTCTCTCCTCTCCCATTCTCTCCTTCCAAATCCCTCGACTCTTCTCTACTCCAGCTCTTCCTCCTTTCCTTCAGATAGTTAAGGAGACGGAGCAGCATCTCGTGCCTAGCCTGGCTCTCCTTACTACTACTGTCATCACCAACACCACCCTCCTCCTTACCTTCACTCTCCTCCTTGGGGGACAAGAACGATGGCCTCCCCTTAGCAGGCTGCTGCTTGTTACTCTTCCGTTTCATCATCAGCTGGTGGGCCGGCAACACAACAGGACGACCAGCTACCATCTGCGCACTATTCTCTCCTCCTCCTCCTCCTCCTCCTCCTCCTCCTCTCCCTACTTGCCTCGTTTCTCGAGAAGAGAAACTCTCCATGCGTTCATTGTCGACCTCCTCGACTAGATTACCCATCCCGACGCGCGAGGTCTTGACTCTTTCAGGACATTCCCAACTTCTTTCCACTTCAGCATCTTTAAGCTGACGCTGGCGGGGTGAAGACAAATCGTTATCGACGGTCTTCTTGCTGATCGATCGGCATCGCTGGTCCAACTCGCCGTTCGCTTCCCCCTTCACCTCCACAAGTCGCCGCGGTGAACATCCAGATACACGCAAGAGCGAGGGGGAGGAAGGGGAGCAGGTATATAGAGAAGACCAGGAGGAGGAGAAGGGGTTTGACATGCACATGCGCATACTCTGCGAGGAACTACCCCCACCCCCACCCCCACCGCCACCACCATCACATTCACTCCCTTTCTGACGTTCTCCGTCATCTCCACCCTCTCTCTTCACACCATCCCCACCACCACTCCTTAGATCGTCACTGTTCTGTTCCCCCGCATTCTCTACATTAATTACCCCGCTGGTCCCCGATCCTTTCGATGTCGAAGAAGACCCTGAAGGACGCGATTTCGCCATACAGAACTTCGACAGAAGCCCTACTTTTCCCCACTCTGGCCAACACTCCTCCCTCTCCTCCCTCTGTGTGATATGCACAGGCTGGAGAGGCGTTAAGGCCGGGACGGAAGGTCGGGATCCATATCCCCCACAGCCCATCATCGCCAACGTGGACGCCATAGATTTGCCTCCCCCCCCCCCGGCCGAAGAAGGTCCCAGGAGGGTTCCCACCAATTCCGATACAGGCTTTTTGCACCCGCCGAATCCCTCCCCAGACGAGGATGCATCGTCGATCCCGATCCCGACTGTCATCACTTGCAATGAGGAAGGATTGACGCCTCCGCTGCCTCTATTGTTCATGCTGACGGTGGGCGTGCTGCTACTTAAGGTGGTCATGCTGGCGTTAGCTGAGCTGTTGTTGTTGGTGTTGTTGTTGTTGCTGCTGTTGTTGTTGTTGTTGTTGTTGTTGTTGTTGTTGTTGTTGTTGTTGTTGTTGGCAGCCATGGCGGCAGCGTTGGTAGCGTTGGTCCGGCGATTAAGGAAGAAAGGGTGGGTTTGCTTCCCCGCGCTGAGTCGAGCGTTCTCCTCAGCAGCTCTCCTTGCCGATTCTCTCATCTCCATTATGTTCCTAAGATGGATTAATTCACTATCCATTTTCAAGACGTCATCTGTGTCGTCGGTGGTAAAGAAGCTGGCCATCTTCAAAACCTCCCCACCATCGCCCGCACCTGCATCTGTTGTCGTCATCGTCGTCGTCGCCATCGTTGTACAAGTGATAGTACTAGCAGTCGTAGTCGCCGCCGATTTCTTGCTGCTTCTCGTCGTTGGAGGCGGGGTTGATGGCTTGGGAGTCGGCTTCTTATCACCAACCCTCCTCCTCTTCTTCGCCTTCTCCTTGTTCAATTGACATGTTGATGTTGTCGTCGTTCTTTGCGCCGCCTCTTCCTCTTCCTCCTCTTCCTCTTCCTCTTGCTCTTCCTCTTCCTCTTGCTCATCCTCTGCCTTTGCCGCGGTCGTCGTCTTCGTGAGCTTCTTAGTGAGCTTCTTAGTGAGCTTCCCATCCACCATCCTTCGTTTCTTGCCCAACCTGCCATTCAAATTCAAATTACTAGCCGTTGACGATCCCACCCACACCTTGAAATCTGCATCCTCCATCATTTCCGCCTCCTTCCTCTCACAGTTCTGGCCAGCAGCCTTCCCCACCATCGCCGGCTTCTCCGACGAAAGCCCTGCCTTGCCGGCATTATCCCCGCCTGCAGCAGCGACTCGTTTTCCCCTCCCTTTTCTCTCCCTCCCCCGACCCATCTTCCCATTCCCCACTTTTCCCACGTGGTCCTCGGCAACCATCTCTTGCTGTCTCCGTCGTTCAGATGGGGGCAAGAATATCGACGCAATCCTGGCCGTCGGATTGTCGCCCACTTTCCCCGGCGAAGCATAGCAATCTCCGTGATCGCCAGCGGCAACGGTCTCTTCACGATCTCCACCCACGACCGCCATCGCTAACTTCTCTCCCACCCCAACCACAGTCCTGGCCTCTTGTGGAGGTAAAGCACTACCCGCACAAGGTCCTCTTTCTCCCTCCTCCTCTTCCCCATCTTCACATTCCAGTCCCGCGCAAGGTCGTTCCGACGCCAATGACCCCTCGCCCGCGGAGGCGAGCGGACGACGCCCCTCCTCTCCTCCTTCACCTGCCCCCTTCTCCCCCATGCCACCATCTCTAATCTGCCGGATTCGAATTAGGGTTGCCAGATTCTCTTCTTCTTCCTCCTTCACCCCCGCCTTCTCGCCTGCCGCCCACTTCTTCTCCCCCACAACAAGATCTACATCTTCGTCATCACCGTCCCGATCGCGCTTCCCTTCCCCGACCCCGTTATAGTTCCTGACATGGCCGATGTCTGCTGAGTTAAATGCGCGGGCTGAACTCTGCAAGACATGATCTTGCTCCGCTGGCTGCACGTCCGCGCTCTCCCTGCTGCTTCCAGATAAATGCGTGGGAGATAATTGCGCGGGAGATAATTGCGCGGCAAACAGTCGGGCAAGCGGGCGGGACGCCTTACCACCTGCCGCTGGATCAATCACCCCTCCTTCACCTTTGTTCCTTCCCGCCTTGGCTGGCTTCTGTGTGGCTTTCTTCCCTCTTCGCGGGGTCCCCATCTCTCCCTTTCCCCCACTACGTCGTTTTTCCAATGCCTTCGAGAACCTGACAGGTCAAGGCCTCCTTCTCCAAGTGCACGCGCAGTTCCTCAACGGGGACACGCACGGAGCGCATGATTAACAAATGTCGCCCCGAATCTGATCGTGGTGCCCCATAGTTCCACAAGATAGTCCATCCCAATCGTATCTCTCACATTCTCTCTCACATTCTCTCTCTCTCTCTCTCTCTCTCTCTCTCTCTCTCTCTCTCTCTCTCATAGTTCCACAAGATATTCCATTCCCATCGTCTTTTTCACATTCTCTCTCACATTCTCTCTCGCACATTCTCTCTCTCTCTCTCTCTCTCTCTCTCTCTCTCTCTCTCTCTCTCTCTCTCTACATGTTCAACGTTCGTGTATGCATGATGCATGAAAGAGAAAGAAGAAATGAGAAGAGGATGAGGAGGGCAGGTAAGAGAAAGGGAAACGGCGAAAGGGCACTTCACGAAATTTCCTCCGTTCAAAATCAGATAGATTCCCCCCCTTGCCAAAAGTGAGGAAACACAAACTCAGCCATCGCATGCCAATGAGGTGTGGGGGGAAGAGAGAGAGAGAGAGAGAGAGAGAGAGAGAGAGAGAGAGAGAGAGAGAGAGAGAGAGAGAGAAACGCGAGGGCGACAGGAGGCGGGCAGGAGGAGGGAGAGGAAGGGAGGCGGGGGGGGGGGCGGAAGGAGCTCAATCTTCCCGGAGAGTGTTCAATCACACTTGTGGCCCCCCGTCCACGCCCGTTGGCAAACACAATTTTGAAATAAACACAGCCTACCTAATCGCTGCCTACTCGAACGGGACAAGGAACGTCTTTCCGTTTCGGGAAACCCCCAAAACACGTCACAAGCAGCCGTGGACCGTACGAATCCGTAATGGAAAACGCCACCAAACACAAAGCACACATAGCACTTTGAAAAAGAGTCCACCGCCCTTGCTATAGACGGGCTATAGACTCTAGATTTGAAAAAAAAAAAAAAAAAAAAAGAGTCCACCGCCCTTGCTATAGACGGGCTATAGACATTAGACGTGATAAGTGCTATAGGCGCGATAGACTATATCTTGAGACCATTCTATTTTTCATTCTATTTTTCATTCTATTTTTCATTCTATTTTATTATATTTTATCGACTCCCGTGAAATCTGCAGTGTCGGTTCCTCATTGCCGTCCGTCACCAGGGAGGGTAAAAAAAAAAAAAAAAAAAAAAAAAAAAGGGAGCTCCCCGGGGCCAAGTCCCACTACCACAGCGTTGAGCTACCTCAACGCCCGAATCTGGACGTTTTTGCGGAGATGTGCAGAAATTGGTGTTGAGTTGCCTGAACTGCACGTCTCCACAAACACGTCCAGATTCAGGCGTTGAGGTAAGCTCAACGCTGCTAGTGGGACCTGGCCCCTGAGCACATGCCCTCCTAATCGTCCAACGTATCCGGTCCCATTCGGACATACTGTGAGGGTCCGTTGTGCCCGGGGAAAACCGCTACCTGTAACCCGCCTGGGTGGTGGTCCCGGAGCTCCGTCGTGACCCCTAACGGTCATATTAGGTGCATGCCAATCACCGAATCACCAAACCTAATTTTGAAATTCCATGGCAGGTAACCCCCCCGCTTTATTGCACCGCCCAACGGGGTTTGTTAATAGCCGTCCGATGAGGGCGATCTTGGCGCCATTCATCATCTCCCTCACATAAAGTGACCGATTTGTTTCATTTTTATTTGTTTTTGACTTTTCCAGGAATCCGGAGAGCGCCCCGCCTTTCCGTGGCACTCTTTTTTTTTTTTTTTTTTTTTTGTTTGTTTGTTTGTTCCGGGAGTGGCACGGTATTCGGTTTGGCGGGCGCGTGGCTAACAAAGAGGGGCTTGAGAGAGCCCGCCGAAGGCGGTGTTCGCCCCAGTTGAGGTCCCTCTTGACCAGATTAGACTTTTCTAACCATCGATGAAGAAGATCTACGGTCAGAAAGAAAGAAGAAGAAGAAGAAGAAGATGTACGGTCATAAAGGAATCAAGAATCAGCGAAAGGTGGCCTTTCTCACCCCGGGGACCACCGTCAAACCCGGGGAGACGGGGAGAGATCGCACCCTGCTGCCGTCTTTCCCCGAGCACAACGCACACTTATTTTGGATGTACCTGACCAAAATATAGCTTTGATACATTCATTATCAGGGTGCGTTATGTTCGAGGGAAGACGGCGGCCGGATCATCAGCCGGTAACCTTGTAGCCCGGTACTGGCCTTGTAGGCCGGTTGCCCTGTACTACCGGTAGCCCAGTGCCTGGTAGCCCCGTACTACCAGTAGCCGGGTAGCATGGTAGCGGGGCAGCCCGGTAGCCCTCTAGCCTGGTCGCCTGGAAACCAGCCCGGTGGCCTGGTAAAGGGGTAGCCCGGTAGCCCGGTAGCCCGATAGTGCGGTACTCCGATAGGCCGATAGCCCGATAGGCCGATAGCCCGGTAGCCCGGTAGCCCAGTAGCTTAGTATCCCGAGCGTAGCCCGTACTAGTAGTAGCAGCGTGGTGGCCTGGTAAAGGGGTAGCCCAGTGGCCTGATAAAGGAGTAGCCCAGTGGCCTGGTAAAGGGGTAGCCCAGTGGCCTGCTAAAGGGGTAGCCCAGTGGCCCGGTAGCACCGTAGCCGGGTAGCCCGGGGCCAAGTCCCACTAGCGGCGTTGGGTTTCCTCAACGCCTGAATCTGAACGTGTTTGTGGAGATGTGCAGAAATCGTGTTGAGTTTCCTCAACTGCACATCTCCGCAAACGCGTCCAGATTCAGGCGTTGAGAAAACGCAAGGCTGCACCCGGTAGGGGATGTTATGGTACCAAAGATGCTCCAGCGCAGCTACCCCACTCCCCCACTTTCTTCAAGTTTCGCACGGGGCAACCCTGGGAGAGCCTGAGGACACTTGATGTGTCCTCAGGGGTGGACCTGTAACCTGAGGGCCCACGGAGCTGGTACCCATAGCCTGATAGCACCCAGCTTTGCTCTGAGCATCTTCTCCTTCAGTGGCCACCATCAAAATAAATGACGCTCTCTAGATTGTCAGGATGTTGACTGACGGAAGGAAGGAAGGATAGCACGGCAGCATGGCCAAGGATTCTTATCTCTAGAACTTGAGATGGTCAAGGATCACCTCCTCTAGAACAACAGAAACACTAGAACAGTAGACACTACCACTCATCTGCATCAGCTTCCTGATGATCACAGCTGCACTGACACCGCTGTCTGCCCCGCTGCTTCCGTAGTCGTTGGTGCCGCTGTCGTCATCATTGCTGTTAATGTTGTTGTTGTTGTTGTTGCCGCACTCATTTTTGCTGTCGCCGCAATTATCTTCGCCGGCCGCCAAACCTCCCTCCAATATACTCCAAATTCAGATCTGTATATGGGACGCTGGACCTGTTTTTCCAGCAGGCGATGCTCCCCACTAATAGGTGGAGCCTCTCCCTAGGTGCTAGCAGTGTCTGCTCTTACCAGCACCACTAGCACTAGAGGGGGCGTTTTTAAAAAAGACTACCACCGCTACTACCACCACAACCACTACTACACCACGACCAATACCCACAACTACCACCTGCTTCGTTGAAAGTTAAAACTGAGATGCTCGCCGGGAACGTGCAAACTTGAAAGTAAGCAGCAGAGGGAAGAGTGGCTCGGGGACAGCAGTGTACTCCAGAAAAAAAAAATCTCATTTTAATGAAACAATTGTTACTGTTTCTCATTCTTGACCCTACGATTAGGAGTCCAGTATGGCTGACTCAGCATGTGTAGCTACATTTTTTTTGTCACCACTGGCATCATTAGTATCATCAGCATTAGAATTGTTATTCTCAGGTTTTTCTCAGCAAAAAAAAAAAAACAAAAAAAAAACACCCTACGGACATGTGTTCCTACGCAAAACAAAAAACAAAAAAGACAAAGAAGAAGCAGTTCTTAACTGCAGCTCAGTCCCCTGGCTAATGACACTTCACGAAACAATCCAGATTAACCCTCGCTGCCGTAGGGCGGTTGCACTGCTCTCCATACGCCAAGTTTGGCGAGGAGGCGCCTAGTTACTTGCAGTTACGCGGTTGGCGTCAGTTTCTTTGGCCCAAGGCCTCATCTTCAGGGCTCCAAGGACACGCAACATCTCAGAGGTGGTTTTCTTCTTTTCTCATTTTTCGATAATGTAATTACGGTTGATCTTCATCAT